GGCGTGAGTGGTGCGAAGCACCACTCTCGTGGTGACTAGTTAGCTAGCCTTTGGCTAGCTAATAGTTAGTCAAGTTGTAGGTCACTTATTAAATTATAACTTATACACATATCCCACTATATAAACAAGTCTATTTTCTTGTAAACTTTCGATGTGGGATTCCTTACCATATATAAGACACTTAAATGGGCTTATAACATATGGGCCTATATTGGAGACTTTTCCAATTCACCCAAATTAATTACAACGGCCCACATCATTAAATAACATATTTAATGACTCAGATAAACATCATTAAATAACATATTTAATGATTCAAATAAAATTAAAGAACATATTTAATGATCCAAATAAATCAATTAATTCCAACAAATAAAACAAAATTACTGAAACACAATGAATTACTATAAGAGTCTTCTTCTAACCCACAATCTTGTAGCTCGGGTTGGCAAGATTATTTTGGCCAGATACCACCTGCGCCGATTCTATAACATCTCCAACCTTTAGGTCAGCCAAAAAATCATCATTTTCTATCCAACGCTGAATACTGGCCTCCAATATGTTGGCATTACTAGGAGTTACTAGTTAGGTATATAAATAGCTATCAAATTAAGTGTTTTCTATATGATTTTGTTAAATAAGTTCTACATGTTTAGAATTCTCACCTCTCTGGCCATTGCCATAGTTCAAAATGCATTAAATGGAAGCTTCATTTGAGCCTTGTATAGACCAACCTCCTGTTAAAGAACAAATAACTTAGCATCAAACTGCTAAAGGAGTCCCAAAAGGGACGTTCACGATAACATAAAACGGTATCTCGAAACTTACTTCCAGAGTTTCTCCATATAAGGGCGCATTTTCTCCATTCACCATAATTCCAAGAGGAATAGCACGGGTTTTCTCTGTGCTGGGGTCAATAAAGCCCTGAACATGACCTTTAGGATCTCCTGTTTGGACTACAAAGCCATCTGCTACACGAAAAAAAGGAGCATCTATAAGTTTCAAGAAATTATAATAGGCAAAAAAAGGGTAAACCATCAACACATTTTAAAATCCCTTAAACACATATATACAAATATATATGCTCATCACAAATTTGACCTTCAAAATTATCCTAGTAAAGATTATTTTGAACTTTACTCTTTCGACAGAATCAAAGGCCTTCACACCAGCAACCTTGAGACTTTCGATAATATAAACACCGCACGACACAATATCCAGAACCAGGTTTCAGGAAATATGACAGATTCTAAAACCCCTTAATGTATCTCAGCAGAAATAACCTCGAATATTTATAGTCATAAAGAGAGCTAATGAGGCAGTTAATCGAACCAAACAGAGCAAAAATGTTACGAAAGCGAATCTAGTATCTCTGTTAATTAAACAATCAAAATGAAGATGAATATCTTTAATCAAGTATCGCTCTTTGGCTTCAAGCGGGTAAGCGTGTTGCATATGAATTCACAACTGTTACGGGAAGCAAAACTTCTCCCTTCTATAAGGACACCCCTTTAAATTCTAATACACAAAGACGTTTAAAATACCACCTTACTTTCGACGATTTCAAGATGATTGTCTTCAACATCGCATGCAAACTCAAGGTTTATATGCTTCACATTTCGGTATCTCGGCTACAAAACAAAATAGTACACATTTACGTCGAAGACACCATACAAAGTGAAATCAAATATTTCAGCATTATTGCTTGGTTTAATTCGAAAAAGGAAATTGGTATTGCATTTGGTAACCCAAGTATAATTTATTTCCATTTTTGCATTTGTGAGCCTTACATAGTAAATTGAAATACTTTCTTTTCTAGCATTCTCTCACCATTGACCAACCAAACCTTTACCATCAAGAATAACCGATCGATTAAAATAGATAAAGAAGAGAAGAAAAATAATTTAAAAAACTAACCACAGAGAGGGCTGCCACGAGGCGATTTGCAGCATTATTCATCTCATGAAAATCAATAACCTGAAAATAACCAAGATAAGAAAAGGTCATAAAAAACCCAAAAATTAAAACAATAAAACAATTACCAGCCAGCCAGAATGAGGGGTGAGAAGAGAGACTGCGATGAAGCCAAGGACTGACAAGACAAAATCATGGGAAAACAGAACCGAAGAAAAAAAAGAGGCGAAGAAGGGTTTTCGTCGACTGCAGAGGGAGAAAATGAGAAGGGAAAGTGTGTGAGAGAGAGGAACGTCGAGAAAGAGAGAAATGAGATGGGTGAAGAATGGTGGAGTATGGGAGAGTGCGTGTAAAAATGGATTGAGAAGGAAGTTGAGAGAAAAAAAGGGAGAAAACATATCGGTAAAAAACTAAAAATATCTCATCTTTTGCAGCTCGGCTAGAAAACGGCTCGGCTCATCTGGCCATACGGCTTAGGAATGAAAATACATGACAGCAGCATGACGTCATGAATGATGCAATATGAATAGTGGCAACAAAGTTGTCTCTTTTTATATTGTAGAGGATAAAGGAAAATTGATTTGCATGCCAATAAAATTAATTTCGATACACTTGACACGTGATTTTGCTTATACAAACTGTCGATTTTGTTTGTGCTATGAAGAAGAATTGGAATTGGAATTGAAATTCTTTTGGCTCACAATTGAATCAATACCGCACTTTACTTTTCTTCGGAAATGATGTAAGACTTTGAATTATGTGCTTGTTTGGGAGGGATTTTTGGAGGAAGAATTGATTTTGAACAGTGATATGATGGGAAATGTGTGGTTGAATTATGTGCTTGTTAAGGAGGGATTTTTGGAGGAAAAATTGATTTTGAATAGTGATATGATGGGAAATGTGTGGTTGAAAAAGAAGAAAAATTGTTGATGTGATGAAAAATATTATTTTATTGAAAAATGTGTGGTTGAAAATGAGAATTGATTTACTGTAGAATTTTGAGTTTCCCTCCCAAACATGGCCTACATATAAAAAATATAAGCTATCGTGCTAATAACATGTTATGAAATAGAGAGAAAAATAGAAGAAGTCAATAGACTTGTGTGCATTTTATTGAGAACCAAAGCCTATATTAATAAAAAAGAATTAGGCCTGCAATGGATACTGTTACGACCTGGGTCCCACTTAACGGGCTGTCCCGACCGTTAGATCGACGACGTACTGTCCCCACTGTACCAACATGAGTCTTTTCAGCATACTTTGTCCTCACTCGCAAGCTCCCCGAGAAAACTTTCCAGAGGGTCACCCATCATAGAATTGCTCCAAGCCAAGCACACTTAACTGTGGAGTTTCTAACAATGGACTTCCGAAAAAGGTGCATCTTGTTGGTATGAGTAGTATCTATCAAATCTTTTAAACTTTCCTGATCTGGGTATTACAATCACCCACCGTTAGACTCGCAACGTCCTTGTCGCTCTTGACAATGCACTGAGATGAAAATTAGATAATGTTGAGAATAAATTCGTAGTTTGAACCTTTATTCAATATCTCAAACCCTAATGGGTGGTATTTTTTAATGCGATTTGCTGATTGTCACTTTGATTGAACAATTTTCTTAGCATTAGAGAGGAATTAATTAATTAATTAATTATATATATATATATATATGTATAATCGTAAAAGACAATTCGAACTAGAAGTTTGTAAGATAATTAATTTTGATACATTTACTGATGAAAGAAAGTAACAATATCTCACACATCAACTTTAAATACTCCAACTTGAATTGTCGTCTTGTGAAAACAATTCGTTAACATTACACTTGATATAAATATATATACGGCACATTGAAGCGTTAACACATTCGATTCTAAGATAAAAAAATCTTCAAAAGAAAATGGAGCAAATAAGAAAGATGATCCCAATAGGAGGCATATATTTGTAGAGAGTATATAAACATAACAAATGTAAAAACTCAGAAGAGTTTTAGGTGCTTGAAATGTTGAAAGTTAAGATATCTTAATAAGTTATGTTGTTATGTAAATATAAATGGAAAAAAAAAAAAAAAATTGTCAACACTTTTACACATAATGTATCGCTTCATATTATAAATAGCAAGAATATTAAAATAAATTCATTGAAGCATATTAATCGAAGATATAATTAGCCAAATAAAATGATGTAATTCTAGTAAAATTGAATTAATTTGAGAAATTTGATGTTTCTGGACCCATAATCCAAAAATTTAAAGGTGTATACATATGTAAAAGTTAAATGAAAAAAATAAAGTGGTAACATATAAGGCTGGACTCTCAACTTAATAATTTTTGTTAAATCATGGTGGATGAAATCATCGGTCCATATCTTGTTATCTTGGCGATACATGAAATTTGAAATGCGATTGTAGCCAATTCATCGGCATAACTGTCTATTATTGTTATCATTAAAGGATTTAATGTATGATAAGGTTTTCAATGAGATAATTTTTGTGGTGTATTCAAATGAATAATGTACTCTTTTTCCTTGATTATGATTTTTCCTAATAAGGTTTTAACGAGTCGTATTCTTTGTGTAATGAATGTCTATAACCCACATGACATCGATCCTCAAAATAATACTTTTACGAGCATGAAACTCGTGGAGAGAACAACAAGAGTTATTTTTCGAATAATCATGTTACTATAATTATCAACCGTTGATAAATATCTCGTATGAAGGCGATATTACTTGAAAGCTATAATAAGACAATACGAAACATGCTTCATTAGAATTATGATAATGATGACATTGGCGTACAAGAGATGGATGACTTGAAACATGGATTTTTATACATTCCCTGTTTAAGCATAGATGCCTATTCCATTCACTCAAAGACTTCAATAGAAGCCAAAAGAGGAACAAGTCCTCGGCAATGGGGTAAAAAACTTGTTCGTGCGAAACCAGCAAGCATACATGATCATTGGCAAGTAATAACGTTAATGAGTCGAGAGTATCGTCCTACGGGAAAAAAAAATTCAATTCAAGTTTACTAATTTCGTATGGAATTCGAATTTTGTTAAAAACAAAAAAAGAAAAAAAAAAAAGAGAATTTGATTTTGTGATTATTCTAAATTAATCTAAAGTTATGACTTATAATTTTCTTTTTTAAGAAAAAATAAATTTATCATAACTACGACCCGGATCTATTCCTAACCCGAATTTGAATGATTAGAATACATTAGAGTTTAGATTATCTATATGATTTCATATGTGATCAATATGATTCCTAACATTTACTGTATATATGTTAACTTTGTCGCATTCTAAATTTATTATGAGTTTCCTAACACTACAACAAACAACTAATTATTTAATTGGATGGCAATCAATTAAATAATGAAATGAGTATGAAAAATTAATTAAGAAACATAAGAAAAAAAACTAAACTATTAGTGTTGAATTAAAACAAATAACAAATAGAGTTCATCTTCATTCAATACAAAAGCGGATCTATCCCAACATGTTAATGTATAAATTACAAGAAGAATAATAGAAAAATATCGCCGGATCATGAAATAAATAAAAAGGTATCGATCTTCAAGTTCAAGTTTGAATTATTTAAAATCTTGATATAATTGACCTTCATTTCCTTGCTAGGGCTTGATCTCCTATTTCAAATTATAGTAATTGGTTCATTGTTCTTAATGAATTTGATAATATTATGTATGAAGAGACGAGAAAGGGCTTTTCAATGTATATGCCTTGTTCTCTATTTATAGGGTGAGAAATAAGCTAGAACCGTGTCCAATTTGGGTTCCAAAAGAATGAATCACGAAAGAAAACTACTGATTCATCTACAGAAATGACCGGTACGCGCGCATGGGCATATCCACTGAGTGTGCATAATTGAGAAATTTTGTTCTCTAGTTGGATGCGCAATTGAGAAATTTCGTTCCCAGTGGAAAAACGATGTCTCGCGTGCGCCCCGGTTTGCTCTTTGTCATCCCTAAGCAATTTTTGGTATTTTGGTCAAACTTTCTCTCTCGATATTCGATTGTGGTGATTCAAAGTGCGTTGGAAAAATAATTTCAATGGGATACAATTCTTCTAGAAATACATTTTTTCCAATTCCAATGTTTGCTTACTTAAATATGGGTTTCAAGTTGAAACTAAAAATTCAGAGCATAACTTCTTCAGTTAGAAATTGATTTGTGAAAATACTTCAACTATATTTGACCTCCAATTACTTCCAATTGATTATATGTGATATTCAATCATCATTTTATAGTCTAAATCAACTATTGAATGTTTACACTTTGATCTTCGAACTTTGGATTTCTTTCATTTTTGCCCATTTTTCGTTCATTTCTTCCAATTCCACTAATTTGCATTGAATTTAACCTAAAAAACATAATTATCCCCAAATAAAGTTATAACTCATCCAAATTACCAGTAAATACTTCAATTTAATGGTCTAGATAAGTGTACAAAATACACTTATCAACATGAATTGAAATCAGGGGAGCAACAGTACTATTTTCTTAACTGAAGTTTTATCTTATTGAATTTTCTTGACAAAATTTTAATGACGCGACATTTTATTATTTCAATTTTACTACAAATATTTGTACTCTTTTTTTATTCATTTGTTATTTTTATCCCATTGAATTTTTTTTTCAAACTGAATTTTCAACGAGACAATTATTGTGCAAAGCATCATCAAAGGGGAAAGTCATAAAATTATGAGAAAATTATTGATGTCTATTTAGTCTTATTAGATTTTTAGATAAGTTTTATCTACTCTGGAAGAGTCTAGTCTAATCCAATTGTAACTCTAATTTTAAGGGTCTGTTTGGTACAGATTCTCATTTTTTTACAGTAAATCAATTCTCATTTTCAACTACACATTCTTCAATAAAATAATATTTTCCATCACATCAATACTTTTTTCTTATTTTTCAACCACACATTTCCTATCATATCACTATTCAAAAATCAATTCTTCTTCCAAAAATCTCTACCAAACACACTCTAAATCCTATAAATACGGGGTATTGATTTTTAATAATATACACTTTCTCCATTTCTCTTCTCTATATTTTTCTCCTTTTCCTTTAATTTTATAACATTTCCTAAAATTTATACTTCTAGACCATAAGAAAGGTGTAAATTTTCCCTTTTATATAAATCATACTTAAGTTATTCTAAGCTAACATTTACCGAAACAATCGTGCTACATGTACAATTTGGTTGACAACTTTGTTGACAGTGTGTGAGGTGATCAATATTTTTGCTATTGATTTTAACAACACTTAAAACAATCCAAGTCACATATTTTCACATCTCATTGAATGTTAATAAAGTTGTACATTTTCAATTTACAAATAGCATAATTGTTACAGTAAACACGTGCCTTGAAAACATGAAAAATATAATTTCGTTAAGATTAGATCTATGTGATACAAGACTAGGGGAGGATCTGACGTAATATATTTTATTTTTTAATCGACAATTGGTGACAATAGAATTAATTAAGATATAATTTGGTAGCTGGCTTCAAGTTTGAACCATAACCATAGGTGGGCATATTGACATGGGAACTGTGGCCGTACTCATACCATATTACAATGAAATTGGACTTTGCTATATGTACATCAAGCAGTACATAATGCGTTACATAATGCCACACGATATTCTATTATTGGATAGTTTAAAACATAGTTAGCTTTTTTCATCCAATCATTTCACTACATATCATTTTCTGACACACTTTTTGGATATCCTTTCTTGACAAATAGCATAATCCAATGAAATTTTCTTAATATGAATATTACAATAAGTTGTGAAACTGTGGAATCTATTAATAAAAAGTGTATATGAAGAATTTAAATTATAATTTAAGTTCTATCAGACATGAACTAAGGGTCAATAACACGTCTACATATTGTCGACAAATTTTCAATCCAAAACAAAAAATAGAAATACGAAAGGTATGATTGGAGAAACAAATAGAATTAATGAGCATGAAGAATTTCCTTGATTAGAGATCTCTTTGCTCATAACGATGGGCAATGATGCTTGTCTAAGAAAACCCTCCTTCGTAAATGGCGGTGGACTATTTGCTCCGATGCCATTTAATTTGATGATCAATTCAAATATATGAAGGGGAGAGAAAATGGTATACAAATATTAAAAATGCTAAGAAATGTAGTGCGTGAAGGGACATATAGAGGCACACAACTTGTATTTACAAGTCTCTACCTTGCTGATGTGGCACAAGAATTGTCGTGTATGAATAGATGGGCATCATTTTCCATTCATAAAAATGCAGAGAATATAATGAGTGACATATATACTGATACGTTAATTGTTACAAAAAGATTTGTGGTTGACCAAAAAAGTTTTCTGATCAACCTCGATTTTAATGTAATGATTAATAAAGATTGATGATCAACCTCGATTATAATGTAAAGATTGAAATAGTAGATTGATGGAGAATATGTGGTTAAAAAAGAAGGAAACATTATTGATGTGATGTAAAATATTATTTTATTGAAAAAAGTGTGATTGAAAATAAGTAGAAGAACAAAATGAAAATTTTAATGTGGCTCAAACGGGGGCAATTTTCTCGGGGTGGTCTATAAGTGGCAGTTAGAAAGCCGTAGATTGAGATTTGGAGGAGATTCTGAATTGAGGCAGCGATAATATTTTGGGGGTATTGAGAGTGACAAAGAGAGTGGGATTTGTGTATGGTAGGAGAGAAATTTTTAACACCTATACCTAACAAAGTTAATATTAATTTTTGGTAGGTTTATCATTGATGTAGACAACTTGATGCAATATAGGATTAATTTCGATAGATGGAATCAGAGGGCGGCGAAAGGTTTCTAAAACCACTAATGAATCAAATATAGCAAAAAACAAAATTTAAAAAAAGTAGGTTGTGTTTAATGGAAAAAATAGTAAGAATCGACGTATTTTATGTTACCAATAACTAAAACGTAGTATATAAAATGTAAATTTGCAAAATATAGTATGAAAATTGTAAATACACCCTAAATATAATGTGTATTTTGTAATTTTTTTTTTCAAAATTATGTATAACGATATTATGTTTGATAGATACTATCGATAAATACAAATAAGTTATATAAAAAAGAAAGAGAAATAACAAAACCCACCCATAATCCGAGTTTCAATCAAAATTTGACTTATGGCGAGTAAATGGAAAAAAAGTGTCTAATAAGAACTCAATTGATACAACTTTAAAAGGGGGAGAACTTTAACCTCAAAGAAATGCAACTCTATTATATTTTCTTTTCTATCTTAGTGATATCGAAAACCTCACATCCATTGCTCCAAATCATTTAAAACAATTTCAAGATTATTTGAAATAGAAAAATGTGGCACAGTACACTACAAGTGACATGACATTTGAAATGTCGTTTTATTATTTGAAAAAAAAAAAATTAATTAACATGTTATTGCATTTTTAAAATTTATTAGAAACGTCCATTCCTATTACAAATCAATACAACTTATACATTGGTCAATCTCAATTACCAAACTTTAATTTGTCTCAGTCAAATAGTTGAACTACAAATTTCTTTTCATGTTTCTCTCCCACTTATAAACTTAACATGACTAATAAATCATTTGATGGAACATACTTAGCGCTCTATTAATCTTCAATGTCATGATTCTGCGATCACGACATTATTATGTTGCATATTGCTTGAAAATGAGGCTAAACGAGGATTAAAAATTGAAGTGATAAATGTTGGGAGTAAATTGATTTGAAGTCTGGTGGTCTAATTACGATAAATAAAAAATTGAGTTACCTAATTGAGATTTCACTAAAAGTTTCCAATGAACAAAACCTTTACATTTTGGTTTTATTATTTTATATCAACAACAATTTCTTTATTCATAAACCTGTCCTTATCAATGCATTAGAGAAGTTCCAATTGCTTTGTCCATAATTTTCAAAAGAAATTGAAAAAAGAGGGACTACCTAACAACGTTTTAATGAATCAACGACGAGAAAATGTAGAATGCAAATGATTGAACCAAATAAATGAGGTTATTACAGTAAGGCTCTGTCCGGGAGTGATTAAAATCCAATTAAAATTGAAAATATGACCGTTATTGGGCCCCACCCGTCTAATAAAAGTCAACAATAACGGCTATATTTTCAATTTTAATCCGATTTAAAACATGCTTTGGGAAACATTAAGGCCCTGTTCGGGAGTGATTAAAATCCAATTAAAATTGAAAATATGACCGTTATTGGGCCCCACCCGTCTAATAAAAGTCAACAATAACGGCTATATTTTCAATTTTAATCCGATTTAAATCCCTCACATACAAGGCCTAAATTTCTAGCAATGAAATTCATTATCATCTTTAATTTTTCCAAGTGCATGATGGCACGTGTTTGGTCTTTATTATAGACAATACATATAATTACTGCACGTCTCCCACAAAAATTTCCAATTCAAATACTGCGTCACACACACACACGCACGCACGCTTCTTTCTGTTTATACATTTTCGAAGAATCTGCTTGTGCAAACCCTTTATTTCAGTGTTGCGCTAACTAACAACAAGAATTTCTATCAAAGAATCTTCCCAAAAGAATGGTGTCGCTGAAAGCAGGGAGCAGGCCACCATGGGTAGGCTTAGGCGCTGCAGTTTGGGTAGAAATAGCAGCAGGGAGTGCCTATACTTTTCCTTTATACTCTCCTTCACTGAAATCAGTTCTCGGCTTCAACCAGCAACAGTTGACCATTCTTGGAGTGGCAAATGATATTGGGGAGAATGTTGGGATTCTTCCCGGCATAGCCTGCAACAAATTCCCACCTTGGGCTCTTCTTCTTGTGGGTGTTTTTGCCTCTTTCTTGGGCTATGGTGTTCTTTATCTCGCTGTTAGCCAAACTGTTCAGTCCCTGCCTTATTGGGTTGTAAGTTCTGCCTTTTTCCCCTCTATTATGACTTGGGATTCCATATATATGTTGTTTAAAATTTTGTAATTCAATCTACGTGGATTTTACCTTTGACGTGCCCCCACAAGATGGTGGTGGATCATTCCAGATTAATAGGCTATCGCGATCACTTAATGAGAGGAGGAATCAAGTGTTAACTATTTCAATATTTAATCGATGCAGGATTTTATCCTCAACACCTTCCAATATTAGATTTTTTATTTGGCTCCCTTCTTGAAGCTTACTATTGATTTTCCAGTTTTGTGGGTTCTACTTTCTTGATTTCTTGATTTGATACATATCGTTTTTTGTAAAATTTGTTAAAATGTAGATAGGAATTCATATACTATTTTTTTCTTCCAAATATTGATGTGTGGGTGATTGTGATAGATATACATGTTACCCTTTAGTTAAACTTTAGAGGAAGATGAAATTGTGCAATTAACTGTAACCTCCATTGCTGAGGTCTTGAACTATATATAATAGAGGAACTTTACAAATGAGGATCTAGAATTTACAGCTATAAGTTAGTTCCTGAAATAGTGGATCATGTCTAGAATATTGTACAACAAATTTAGTGGTAGCACTACAAAGAAAAACGGAATCAACAGAAAGGAAGATGCTGCTGATGCATGCACCAGCTGGTAATTTCAGTTGGATGAGGTGGAGCTGACTAAGATCAATTCTGTTAATTTAGTTAACACCCTCCCTCAAGTTGGAAGATGCTAGAGTAACTCCAAGTTTGTCCTTCAAGAAGAGGAACCTTGAATGACTCAATCCTTTAGTTAACATGTCAGCAATTTGATCTGAAGTTGGCACATACTTTACCTCCAGTTCCTTGGCTATTACTTTGTTTCTGATGAAGTGTATGTCTAGCTCTATGTGTTTTGTCCTGGCATGGTATACCAGATTGGCTGCTAATGCTCCAGCACTTATATTATCGCACCAAATAGTTGGAATTTCAGCCAATGGTAGTTCCAGTTCTTGAAAGAGTGATTGAATCCAGGTTATCTCTGATGCAGTTGAAGCATGTGCCCTATACTCTGATTCAGTACTTGAGCGTGCCACGACCTGTTGTTTCTTTGAAGACCAACTAATCAAATTATCACCTAGGTAGACATAATAGCTGGTGGTTGATCGTCTGTCATCAGGGCAGGATGCCCAGTCTGTGTCTGAATAGAGTGAGTCTGTCGCTTCTTTGAATCCAAAGTTCATGGTTTATTGTCCCTTTAAGGTACCTCAATACCCTCTTCAGTGCTTTCCAGTGTAATGAGGTTGGAGCTTGCAGAAATTAGCTCAATTAATTTACAGCAAAAGTGATATCTGGTCTAGTATATTGGAGGTACTGCAATCCTCCCACAGCATTCTTGTAAGCTGTGGGATTCTTTAAGGCTTTCCCATCACCTTTGGACATTGATTTTCTAGCAGGAATAGGTGTGATGCAGGGTTTTACGTTTTGTAATTTAAACCTTTCCAGCAGATCAGTAACATATTTGGTTTGTATGAGATGAATTCTAGCATCATGCCATAACATCTCGACTCCAAGGAAGTGATGTAGCCTTCCCATGTCTTTCAATGCGAAGGTTGTATTCAGATTGTTGATAAATCCTTGCAGCAAGGCTCTGTCATTACCTGTAATTACAATGTCATCTACATAGATGAGTGCAAAAATTATTTGATTTTCATTTTTGAAATAGAAGAGTGAAGAGTCTGCCACTGATTGCTTAAATTTCCAACCCAAGAATGTAGTTTTCAGCTTCTCATTCCAGGCTCTGGGTGCCTGTTTCAATCCATAGAGTGCTTTGCTTAACTTGCAGACATGATTAGGCTTTGACTCATCCACGAATTCTTCAGGTTGATTCATAAACACAGTCTCCTTCAGTTTACCATTAAGGAAAGTGTTATTAATATCTACTTGCCTGATTGTCCACCCCTTTGTTACTGCCAAGGTGAGTACAATTCTGAGTGTTGATGGTTTGATCACAGGGCTAAACATCTCATAGAAGTCAATTCCAAGAGTTTGATGGAACCCCTTTGCTACAAGTCTGGTTTTGAACCTTTGTATTGAGCCATTTGTGTTTTGCTTAAGTCAGAAAACCCATTTATTCCCAACAATGTTGTATGTTGACGATGGAGGTACAAGCTCCCAGGTTTTAGCCCTTGTCAAAGCATCAAATTCTTCCTTCATTGCCTCCTTCCGGTCAGTACTCATCATAGCTTCAGTTACACTTCTAGGTTCTGATAGATTCTCAGTCAGCTTCCCAAGATAAGTTTTAGGTTTGAATATTCTAGCTTTCCCTCTAGTAACCATGTGATGCCCAACCACATTTTCTGCTCTATGTTGAGATGTTATTCTGTCATCATCATCATTTGATTGTAGGGGTTCTTCATCAACCTGTGGTATTTTTTGTTTTGCCCCTTCAAGTTCTGTTTCATTAGTTCCTTCAGTGTTGTCAAAAACATCATGTTGATTATCATTTAAGTTAGATAAGTGATGGTCAGCTTGAGTAGTTTCAAGATAGGTAGTATGAGCAGGATTTCTGGTAGATACTTTATGATCAGAAGGAAAATGAAAATAGGAAGCTGTGATTTCTGATGCTGTAGGTTCTGAATGACCCTTGGTGACTGTTGTACGCTCGAATGGGAATTCCAATTCATTAAAGACCACATGCCTAGAGATATATAGTCTTCCAGTTTCACTTAGACATTTGTATCCTTTATGAGAATCACTATAACCCATAAAGGTGCACTTGGTGGAATGAAAATTGACTTTCTGATTTTGATAGGGTCTTAGACATGGGTAGTAGGCACTTCCAAATACTTTTAATGTTTGATGATTTGGTCTTTTATTGTACAGAGTTTCATAAGGTGATTGTTTTTGGAGTGTAGGTGTTGGCAGCCTATTTATGAGATATGTTGCTGTTTGGAAAGCTTCCCACCAATACTTTAGAGGTAGTTTGGCTTGGGCTAAGAGTGTTAAACCTGTTTCTGTGATGTGTCTGTGCTTCCTCTCCACCCTGCCATTTTGAGCTGAGGTATAGAGACAAGGATGCCTGAAATCAATCCCTTCTTAGTTCAAAAATTTTGAGAATGCTCTATACTCCCCACCCTAGTCAGCTGCCACATTGGGTGGTCATGGTCAAATGTGATGATAAATAGCATTATTCGAGATCTAGACGTGTTTACGTTTCACGAAGAGTTGATCAAGGAGTATTCAATTGGAAGACATCTTGTTATCCAAAACCATATTTCTCTTCTTGAGATCACCATGTGATTTCTACTAAGAATTAATTCATAACAGCCTCTAAGCTGATATTTTTCACTCCCTCTGATTGCTAGATAATTTGGGTCATTTAACAGTTAAATAATTTTGGGTACGGGTCATTTCTTTATCACCATTATCGTCATCTTCCTTCTGCATGCATGCCTCACCTGAAAGATAACTACATAATATAATCAACAGGTAAATGGTTGATAAACAAATTCCTTTCTATCTAATCATTGCAAATAGTCTACTAACTGCCCACTTCATAACGTCTACATCTTGTTAAATGAAAAATCACAACACAACCATCTAGAACCATTTTTGCAAAGTTCTACTAATCACTACCTGCATGTTTATTTGACAGTGAGAGTTCTGGACATGAGCAATACTTCATTTTCCCTTCTGGGGTAGAACAGTATGCTTCAATATGAATATGTAGATTATACTTTGTAGATGAATCCTAGGACCCTGTAATAACTGCACGAAAACCTGAGCTAGAAGAAATATTTCCTTTTTGCCTTTTTTTTTTTGTTAAAGTGGAGCATTGTAATTCTAACCAGTTAGAGTAACGATATCTCTTTATTTATTTCGCACACTGTTTTGAATAAAGTTTCAGATTTTACCTTCAGCACCATTTTAATTCCCTTTCTGGTAGTGACAGCTATTCTAACTTAATATTTGATATTATGACAGCTGTGGATTGCACTATGTGTTGCCACTAACAGTAGTGCATGGCTGAGCACGGCAGTACTTGTTACCAACATGAGGAATTTTCCTCTCAGTCAAGGAACAGTTGCTGGACTACTAAAAGGCTATATTGGGTTAAGTGCTGCAGTTTATACAGAGGTGTACAGTATGGTGCTTAATGGGTCAGCTTCAAAGCTATTACTGCTCCTAACACTAGGCATTCCCATCACATGTTTGGCAATGATGTACTTTATCCGGCCTTGTACTCCAGCTTCTGGAGAAGACTCTTCGGAGCATGCTCATTTTCTTTTCACTCAAGGAACCAGTCTGTCCCTCGGAATTTATCTCCTCACAACGATAATCTTAAAAGACTCGTTATCCCTCGGTAACACCATCTCCTACATATTTGTCACCATAATGGTTATTCTTTTGATGGCTCCTCTAGCAATACCATTAAAAATGACATTATTCCCTGCAAAACATAAGAAACCTAGCCAATCTGATTTGCTCAGTGGCGACGGTGGTTCAACCCAAACAGATCCTTTGCTGACTCCATCTTCATCAGCAGCATATCTTGGAAGTTTCTATGAGAGCGAAGATATCTCAGAAGTGGATATTCTTCTTGCCGTAGGTGAAGGAGCGGTGAAGAAGAAAAAAAAACCTAGGAGAGGAGAAGACTTCAAATTCCGTGAAGCTGTAGTGAAGGCTGATTTTTGGCTCCTGTGGATTGTTTCCTTTCTTGGGGTTGGTTCTGGAGTAACTGTCCTTAATAATTTGGCACAGATTGGTGTTTCGCTTGGTGTAAATGATACGACAATATTGTTAAGTTTGTTCAGCTTTTGCAATTTTTTAGGTCGCCTTGGGGCAGGAGTTGTTTCTGAATACTCTGTAAGGTAATCACGATGCTCTTTCTTATGGCTATGAGGATTATTATATATGATTTCAATCTTGGAAGTACAACATCCCCTTGTTTTGACTGCCCTAGGCTTCCTTTTATCTGAATAATTACTTTTATGTTCTTAAATTTTTTTAATGTCTTTCAGGTTTAAAAAATACATATTATTTGGTCTTTACTAGTGCTTGTTTTGTAGTGCTTATAAGTTGTAAGTCCTACAGAATGTGTGAATAGTAAATTTTGTAGATAAAATGTATGTTTGACTAGATTAAATTATAATTAAGCTTTGCAAAATATGCTCCTAAATTTTTCCCGATGGTTCTGCGGTGGCCACTGTATATAGAGAGTTGTGAACTTGTAGGGACAAGAGGCATTGAATTTCAGAACAATTCAAATTTTGTCCCTCCATAATACTTCTTCAGATATTCTCTTTTCCTTCTTAATCTAATAGTTAAATTAATTACTCTTAGCTCTTTTTCTTATTTCTTTCAAAACCTTCATGCACCTGCCAACTTGATTTCTTGTCATGCAGTATGGAATGTTTGTGACAGCTTCCTTATTTTTAATTTTTGTAGCAACATTATCTGACGGCTTAATATTATGCACGATTGCAGGTCAAAAATGATTCCTCGGACATTTTGGATGACAGTAACACAAATAATCATGATCTTAACATTTCTTCTATATGCTTCAGCACTCAGTGGCACTCTCTATGCTGCAACAGCATTGCTTGGAATTTGCTACGGTGTTCAATTTGGCATTATGATTCCAACTACATCGGAGCTTTTTGGGTTGAGACACTTTGGATTAATATTCAACTTCATGCAGCTTGGAAATCCAGTTGGTGCACTTCTCTTCTCAGGTTGGCTTGCTGGTCATGTATACGACGCAGAGGCAGCTAAGCAGCAAGTGTCGTCTTGCATCGGTCCCAATTGCTTTAGGTTCACATTCCTTGTTTTAGCCGGAGTTTGTTGTTTGGGAACTTTCTTGAGCATTATACTGACCATCAGAATAAGACCAGTTTACCAAATGCTTTATGCGGGAGGTTCCTTCCGTCTGCCGCCAAGCTCTGATAATTGATTATCACTAGTCTTTTGGCATCAAAGGTTTGGGGTTGAGCGATGCCCCCATCTCAAAGTCGTGTGTTCAAGTTATTGCATAGCCGTATAGGTAATTTGTGGTGCTGTATAAGCGTGTGGTTCTGTATCGTACATGGTTTTTTGAGTTCCTCAGGAAAAGGATGTATTTTTACATCTGTGGTATCTATATTGAAGATAATACATTTCATGGATACTAGCTATCCACAGTCTTGGACGGGACGTGCTATATTACTTCAAAGTTAATTTTACTGCCAATAGTCTGACGTCATGTGGGAATCTGATATAAGAATTCAGATTCTATCTTCTTGATTTGTCTCTCTTTGTTCCTCTGTGATTTTGATGAACATTGGTACGATGTATTCTTGTATTTATGGGTTGGAAAGGAAAAAAATAAACATATAGTGGACACAAATGAGAAGTAAAACTGTATGCTGCTCTGGTAAGGACAAAATGCAAATCCCACTGCTGAAATTCTGGTAAAGAACATGGCCAAAAAAGTCGATTTCTACTACTGCTAGGGATATTCAGTTTATTTATCACGTGGGTTTCAAATTCTGGAACATTTTATCCCACGTGATTTCTTCCACACTACTCAACCAATCCTTGTCGTCATTGCTGTCGACTTTTTCATGATCACACACCTGTTTTTTGATATTCGAGTTTCTGTCTGAGCCGGAGCTTTGAGAGTCCACCGTGGGGCTCCCATTTGTCAGCATCAAAATCTTTTGGCTAGACTCAGCAACAGAATCTCCATTTGTTAGCATCATTTGCCTTTTTGGCATTGTTGTTCTCAACTTCTTGTTCCTCTGCAGCATAGATACCTTCCATCTCAAACTGTAATTCCTTTTCGGTACAAGAGCCGAATTTTCATGATGAACCAAACACCGAACATGCTTAGCAAGAAATGTCTTGGTATGCTTGATGGCAAAAATGAACCATAACACTGGGTGTATACTTCTGCCCTTCTCTTTCATAGCAAGCTTGAGAATCTCAAGCCGATGTTTTGCCACAGTAATTCCCATGCTCTGTAGCAAGTCATGACTAAAATAAGCTATATCATCTTGTTGAAGTTCATTTTGAACAAAACTAAGGGCGTAGTGATGAATGAAAGAAGGATCAAGGCCAGTTTTTGATAGCCAAGAAAACCAGTCCATGGCTTTCGTTTCATACAAAATCTTCTCAAAGTTTTGAAATATGGAAGGAGGAGGAGAAGAAGAGGAAGGGGAAGGGGAAGATGAAGAGCGAGAAAATGCGGTTCGTGATATTGCTTGAGGACTCAGGATTTTATTAGTCCAGCAGTTAGTTGAACTTGAGTGACAAAAGATAAAGGTGGTGTTGGGGTCATTGAGTTGATGTTTCCTTCACAAATAGGCCAAAGTGTAATCACACTTTAAATTTATAGGAGTGAAGCCTAAGGGATTCTTTTGATGAAAGTCTCCCACATCCTCCTAGCTAGGGAAAAAAATGTTACCTGCAAAGAAATAAACATTAATTAAATAGTTTCAATCACATAACTAACCATTTAAAACTTTTTCAATGGATAGTTGGCCTAATTTTACTGACTAGTTTTCAGCTGGAAAATAGTTGTGTTCGAGAATATTACTCTTGATACTTCTCAGAAAAAAAAAAAGTGTTTATAAGCACCTTTTAAGCTAAAGCAATTGTACTGGTTTGTGTTCTTATACACATTTTTTTAAAAAATGTTTTATGACATAACACGGTGATAAATTGAACTGTAGCACAATGATTACATGTAAGATCTATTGCAACATGACTGCCAATTAAGCAACTTTCATCAATTTTTGGGAGCCGATAGATTAGCAAAATTTCAAACCAAATAAAAGCACAATAACCCAATTTGAAACTGAATTAATGTTCAACGACCACCTAATTAAGACAACTTAGAATTTAATGACCCAGTTGAAATTTCAAAGAAAGTTTAATGATCGCACATGGAATTTACCCTCTGCATCGACATCTCGCGCATTTTATAGCTTCATTGTCAATCTAAGAAAACTTGATTTCATCTATTGTGCTTCAATTCTTTATATGAGCCAATTCTCCATAAGTTTAATTAGTTTGTTTGATCAACTTTTGACTAATTATTTATGTGGATCCCATTAGTTGGACAAAAGATTTCTTTGGCCGAGTGTGTTCTATTTCATGAGTAGATTAATATAATGTATTTATCTTCTCAAAACCAAGTGAATGAGAAATTAAGGCCAAAAGATCACAACTTGAAATTGAAATGAATTGAAATAAAAATTGGTGGAAANATAAATTGGGAATAAAAATTGGTGGGAAATTGGAAAATGCACAAACCCATATAGGAAAACTAGAAAAATAGAAACAACTTTATATTACTCAAGTTTGGGACTTATGTTTGGGCCCCAAGGAGTGCCAATAGTTTTTGAAGGGGAGCGAACCTACATGCTAGTATGTTGACCAAAGTCCACACGTGTGTGTCGCTGCTGCCGTCCAACCGGCCGGCTCAGCATGGTCACGGGTCTTGGGCTTGGACTTGGGCCAACTTGGTAAATATTTTTTGGTAAAATAATATTTGAATTATTATTTAAAATAATAATAATAATAATAATAATAATAATAATAATAATAATAATAATAATAATAATAATATATTTATTTATTTATATTAATTATTTTCCTAGAATTTTTTGTACGCGACACATGACTTCTTCTCGAAATTGGCGGTTGACAATTAAACTGCCTATCTAAACGGACTCTGTCTGTTGAAGACATAGTTTTTCGGCTGTTGTGTCTTTTGGACACAACTTTTCAACTTCTATATATAGGTCCACATACCCCGAATTTTATTCATTCCAAAATCAATTTTGATTTTTCTCTCTTGCAAATTATATTCCTTCATCCCTGCATTATTTCATATTTTGCATTTCAGTCTCGAAAATTATTTTCATGCATTTTAGTCCTTCAATTTTAGAGAGATAAAAAACGGTTCGCTGGGTCTTGTAATTTGGAGTGCTACTATTACAAGACGAGGCTATTGTATCTTGGGAGACGAATGTTGGAATACCGTCAGCGCCAATGCAAGACATTATCGTTTTAAGGAGAAAGAGTCGAACTCTTGCCTCGACTATTAGTATTTTATCTCATTCATTTTTAAAAGTCGGTATTCTGCCCAAATTATTACACAGTAATATCTTTATTTGCTAAAAATCATAAGACGATAATGACAAGTAATATTACATCTGTCGTATCCCCTAACAATACTCACGGGGAGAAATCGAAAAAATTCACGGGAGTGGATTTTAAGAGATGGCAACAGAAAATATTGTTTTATCTCACAACTCTGAATTTGACAAAATTCTTGAGGGAAGACGCTCCAACTGTTGATGATGAGGAAATAGATCCTAAAAAACGAGTAGCACTTGATGCATAGAGTCATATTGACTTATTGTGCAGGAACTACATCCCTAATTGCCTTGACAACACAATATATAGCGTATATAGTTCGGTCAAGACAGCTAAATTACTGTGGGAGTCATTTGAAAAGAAGTACGAAACAGAAGACACCGGATTGAAGAAATTCGTTGTAGGTAAATTCCTGGACTTCAAAATGGTAGATTCTAAAACAGTAATGAATCAAGTCCAAGAGTGACAAATCATCTTGCACGATATACATGCAAAAAGTATGAAGCTTTGTGAGTCATTTCAGGTCGCTGCAATTATCGAAAAATTACCCCCAATGTAGAAAGATTTCAAGAACTACCTGAAATACAGACGCAAGGAAATGAGACTTGAAGATCTAAGTGTAAGATTAAGAATTGAGGAAGATAATTGAAATTCTGAAAAGAAATTTGAAAATTTGCAAATGGAGGCTAAAGTCAATTTGGTGAAACCAAATACTAGCAAGAAAAGGAAGCACTCGGGTAATGGGAGGCAAAAGAATAAGGCCAAGAAATTCAAAGGAGATTACTATAATTGCTGTAAGGCTGGTCACATTGCAAATGACTGGGGACAGAAAAAGCAAACAAAAAGGACCAAGTACACTTGACCGAGGAAGACAAATTTTCTAACGGTGAGTCTAAACTAATGCTCTCAACTATTGTATTTAAAGCAAATATGGTGGACAATTTGAGAGAATGGTTCATAGATATTGGCGCTACTCGTCACTTTTTGTGCTGATAAGGAAATGTTTTCATCTTACACTCCTATCAATGGACGATAACTATTCATGTGCAACTCGATAACATCAAAAGGTGTTGGTCTAGGTAAAGTAGTCTGAAGATGACATTGGGGAAAGAAGTAACGCTCATCGATGTGCTGCATGTTCAAGATATTCGCTACAGCTTGATATCTTGAGCTTTGTTAAGCAAAAATGAGTTTATGCTAGTATTTGAGTCTATGTTCCCGATATTCGCAAAAACTTGATATCTAGAGCTTTGTTAAGCAAAAATGAGTTTATGCTAGTATTTGAGTCTCACAAGTTTGTACTCACAAAAAATGACATGTTCGTGTATAAGGGTTACTTAGCCAATGATCTATTCAAAATGAATGTAATGCTTGTACTTCGTAATTTTGATATTAATAAAAATAAATCTTATACTTACTTGATTGAGTTTTCTAACTTATGGCATGATAGGTTGTGACATATTAATGTTAATATTTTACGTAAATTAGTAAGTTTATATTTATTGCCTTTTATTTCATTTGATCAAAATTATCAGTGCGAAACACGTGTGGAGACTAAATTAGCCAAAACACCATTTCATTCAGTTAAAAGGAACTCGAATCCTCTAGAATTAATTCGTAGTAATATTTGTGATTTAAAGTTTGTGTAAACTAGAGGAGGTAAAAAGTATTTTATTACTTTTATAGATGATTGCACAATGTACTGTTATGTCTATTTGCTAAGGAGTAAAGACGAGACCTCAGAAGCATTTAAACAGTACAAGAATGAGGTTAAGAATCAAAGTGATAGAGGTGGAGAATAGAGAGCACCATTTGAAGAATTTTGTTCAAAGTCAAGGATTATTCATCAAACTATAGCTCCTTATTCACCTCGGTCCAACAGTATTGCGAAACGCAAAAATGTACTCTGAAAGAAATGATGAACACTATGTTGATTAGTTCTGGTTTACCTCAGAATTTTTAGGGGGGTGCAATTCTCTCAACTAACTGCATTCTAAATAAATTACCACACAAAAATAGGAACGAAACTCCTTATGAGTTATGGAAATGTCATAAACTTTCATACAAATATTTAAAAGTGTGTGGGTGTTTAGCTAAGGTAGAAATGCCAAAGCCTAAACAAGTTAAAATAGGGCCTAAAACTATCGATTGAATATTTATTGGATATGATAATAAAGTAGTGCTTATCTGTTCCTCATACATAAGTTTGACATTCCCGAATGTATATAAAAGTACTATCATTAAATCTAGGAATGCTATATTATTTTAGGACAATTCTCCTTGTAAGGATAAAAAAGAGATAAGTTCGCAAAAATGAACTTATGATACTGCAATTGGTAATCATTAAAGTGATGAAGAACCAAGATGTAGCAAAAGGACCAAAACATCTACATTTTTTGGTCCAAATTTTTTAACTTATTTGTTAGAAAATAAACCTAGAACATTCAATGAAGCAATGTCTAGTTTATGTAACGACCCGAATTTTCAAATGTAAATTTTATAATTTAAGTCGTGTCGCTACGACATCTCCGTTAAATTTTGGAAATTATTTTACGTCCGTCGGGTCGTCTAGGAAAACATTTAATATAAGAATTCAAAACGTTTTTAAACTTAAAAATTCGATATTTCCTTATTGGGTCGAATTTTACACCACATCGATTTTAAATTCCCTTGGTCCAATATTCTTCCTTGGCCCAAGTCCATTATCAGCCCAATCCTTTGTCCAAATTCTGAAGTATATGTTTGTATGGCTCACTACTTTCAAACCTAAAAACATTCATTCCACCTTCAAACAAAATACTCTCTCGGCTGCAAACTCTCACATAATCTGGGCATTCAACTATAGGTAAATTTCTTCACTTTTGAACAATTATTTTTATTTGATTTCACCATCATCTTTGTCTAATCCTTTAATACTTACCAGTTTCTTCCATATTCAAGTTGTGAACTTCAAATCCAAAACTCGTTCTCGACATATCAGTGC